GAGAAAAAAAAGTTTTAATCCTTTCGAAATGAAAAAAAAAAAAAAGGTTAAAATGAACGTCAGATATTAATTAAATAAATGAGGGAAATTTTTTTTTTTTTTTAAAAAAAAAAAAGGGGAAATGCAGGGAATTTTTTTTTTTTTGCACGTTAACAATAAAAAAAAAAATAAACAAACAAAACAGAAAAACAAAAAAAATTTTTTTATATCGCGAATCGATATTTTAATGATAATAAAAAATTATTTCGCACGCTTTTTTTTTTATTATTTGTTTGTTCGTTTGTTTGTTTGTTTTATACCCGATAAACCTTTACGAGAGAGTGAGAGAGTATGAATATCAAAATATATAAATTAAATGTAGATAATTTAGATAAAAACAAAAAAACCAAAAAAAATTATTTTTCAAAACGATTTTCACGAAAGTTTTATTTTATCTCACCGTATAATCACACACACACACACACAAACAAACAAACAAACACAAACAATCTTTTGTCTTTTAAAAAAAAAGAAAAAGAAAGAATGAAAGCAAAGAAAAGCGATTCCGTTTCATTTTCCGTTTTATTTTCTTAGTAAGAAGATTTCATTGATATCGCAACCGAGCAATTTTCTTTTTGTTTGTTTTCAGTACCACCGGAAAAACCCGTGATTTACGATGCAAAAAGTAGAGACCGAACCAAACTAATAGAACCGTACAACGAGGGAAGCGATGTCAGTTTGGTCTGCGAAGTCACAGGCGGTAAGTTTTCAAATTCAGAGAAAATTATATATAAATATAAAAACTAAAAATTCGTGTTCTTATTCGGTAGAGAAGACATTTTCGTACGAACAAACAAACAAACAAACAAACGTCCACCCACCTACCTTTCCTACAACATTTCTCTCGAGTGATAACAGAATGAGGAGGCAGGGAGACAGACAGACTAACGTTTTAACGTTTCCTCTCTGATTTACTACTTTCTTTTATTGGGAAACCTTTTATTATTATTATTATTATCATTATTATCATCATCCGCGGCTTACCGGAACAAATATTTTCGTCGTGTTCTTCCTCCGTTACGATAAACATTCTGAAACGCGATAATCATCCAAAAACTCCATCACACTTTTTTTTTTCTTTTCTTTTCTTTTCCCTTCTCTCCCCTTTTTTCTTTCTTCTTACACGTTTTTAATTTTTTTAACTGCTGCTATTACTACCACGAAACCTCCACAAAATGACGCATTTAATTTGTGTGACGTAAATAAAGCGTCACAGACGTAATAATAATAATTTTTTTTTTCTCCTCTCGAAAATTAGAAAAACCCGATTTGAAATTTTTCCGGAGGGAATTTAATTTTTATTAGTAACTCATGTTTAACTTATGTAAAATTTAGGCTTTTTATTAAAAAAAAAAACAAAAATTTTCCTTCGAGAGATATATATTCTTTCTCGGTGATTGTTGTTGCTGTTGCGTTCGTTTGTTTATTTTTGTTTTTCCTTTCTTTTTTTAAATAAAATTTTTTTTTTTTTTCTGAAAAAGGTTTCAAGGTCGGGAAGGGATAGGGGAGGGGGGAAAAATCAATAATATCGCATGACGGGACAAATATACGTACAAAAAAAAAAATATGTCGTTTCGCGAAACGTTTGTCGAAATAACGACATTTTTAGTAAATTGTTAATCGAGATAATTTGTCGTTGTTTGTCGCGTTTGTTGTTGTTATTGTTTGTCGTTCAAAACCGTATATGGCGTTAACTTTTGATTATTATTCTTCGACAAAATACGGAAGTACGTACATATAACGTATGTAAATTCCAAATGATTAATTTTTATTATTATTATAATTGTTTTTTGTTCAAAGGTCGTCCGAGGCCAAAGGTCGTTTGGTATTTGGAAAACGAACTCAAAGACGAATCATACGAGCAAAGATACGGAGAACAATTAACAGTAAATCATTTTGTTTTACGTAACGTTAAACGAGAATATCTCAATCACAGACTTTTGTGCCAAGCATCAAACAACAATTTGGAACCACCAGCTTCTAAAGTCGTAGTTTTAGATTTAAATCGTAAGTGGTGGCCATTTTTTTTTGTTTTTTCCCCCTCGTTCTGCCACGTCAATTATCAAGATCGAATATAAATTTCTTTTTTTTTTTTCATCCCTTTTTTTTTTCTGTGATATCTAAAACCCGAGCAGTGAAACCATTAACCGTCCATATACTGACAAAGGAAAGAGCCGTGTCGGCAGACAAAAAATATGAAGTCGAGTGCAGAACATCCGGTTCCAGACCGGAAGCCGTTATCACATGGTGGAAGGGAAACAAACAAATCAAAAGATTCGCAAAAAGTGTAAGTAATTAACGCCATTTTTAAATTTATAGCAGAATAAAAAAAAGAGAGAGAAAAAAATTTTTTTTCCCTTTTTTTTCTTTTTTTTTTTTTAATTAAAGAAAACAAACAAACAAACAAAAAACATATTATTCTTATTTTTAGTCGATGGAGTTTACGAATGCGAACAAATTTAACAAAAGTTTCTTTTTTTTTTTTTTTTTTAATGAATTTGAAAATTTTCTCGCGAACGACTCGGTTAATCAAATTAGTATCTAATTTTTTTTTTTTTTTATACGAGAATCGTCTTGCATATAAAACAACAAGAAGAAGGGGGGAAAAAAAAGTTTTTCGTCGTTTTTGTTGTTTTTTATTTTGTTTGTTTGTTTGTTTGTTTTTAAACAAATAAAAACGCAAAATTAAATTAACATAAAATTTATAACTGTTTGTTGTAAATTTCTGTATTAATTACAACTATAAATCAATAAAATAAAATTTTTTATTTTATTTTATTTTATTTGCGATTTTCCTTATAATTAATTTATAATTATTTTGCAATTTTCTTTCTCTCTCTCTCTCTTCCTCTCTCTCAATAACTTTTTTTTTATTTAAATATAAAAACACTTTTTTTGGTTTCTCTTTCTAACCCATGTCTTTTTCTCTTCTCTCACTATGTGTGTCAGTTTTTCTTTTTCTTTTGGTCTTACACTCTCTCTCTCTCTTTCTTTCTTTATATTTTTCTCTTCTCTCTGCGTGTGTGTGTGTTTGTATCTCACTCTTTCTCTCTTTTCTTCTCTATTTCATTTTTTTCTCTGATTTTTTCTTTTTTTTTCTCTAGCTTTTCAATCTTTCTGTCGTACATTCTCTTTCTTTTTTTTCTCTCTATTTGTCTATCTGTCCGATTCCTTTCCCTTCTCTCTCTCTCTCTTCCTTTCTTTATCTCTCTCTCGTCATTTCTAGAAATAGTAAAATATTAATATTTTTCAACCTCTCCTTTCCCAAAACTTATTTAATTACGAAAAAATTTTTTTTTATCCGAATACTAATTTTAAATAATTTTGAAAGTTTACAACTTTTATTTTCCCCCCTGCCCCAAATAAAAAGATTAATTTTTCGGGGAGAGGAAGAGAGAGAAGAGGGGATCACGGACGGACTGTATAAAAAAAATTTCAAGAATTTTTGATTTTATTTCATAAAAATTTTAAGGTCGAAACAAAAAATTAAAAAAAAAAAATCAAAATGGGGTAGGTAATACAAAATTAAAATGTTTTGTCATTTTGGGGAGGGGTGGGGGGTTAAAAAATATTTGAGGTTTCAATCAATCTCACCCTCGATGGGGAAAAAACAAAAAACAAAAAAAAAAATATAAAGTTGGTTAGCCAAGTATAAAATGAGAAATTATTGTACCATCGTCGTCTATTGGTTCCCCCCGTGTTTTTTTTTATTTTGAAATAAATTCTGCCACGATAAAAAAAAAGTTTTTATTTTATTTTGGTATTATTGTTTGCTGATTTTCCTTTTTTTTAAATTCCCTTTTTTTTCCCTCTCTTTTCTCCTCCTACCCCCCTCTACTTCCTTTATTCTTCTCTCAAAAAAAAACAACAAACGTTTTCACGTTTAAAACTTTTTTTAAAAATTTTATTAACAATAACAAATGCAATCACGATTAGGTATTTAAACTTTAAAGCTAATAAGCAAACATTGATACGAAAGGAGGGATGGGGAGGGAGAGAGGGGAAAGGAAAAAAAGTCATGGGGTTAAAATATATCTTTGTAAAAAGGTTAAATAATTCAAATTAAAATTTTATTCTACCGACACGTTTTTTTTATGCAAAGTTAAATTTAAACAACGATTACGTTGTTTAAAATGTTTTTTTTTTCTCTCTCTCTCTCTCTCTTAGTCTCGAACCAATCAATCCGTTCCTGGAAAATTTTTTTTCCCTTTTTCCCCACCCCACGTTTCCTATTTTCGTTTTTTTTTTTTTTTGAATTCGTATTTTTATTTTTCCAGTACACCGAACAAAATGGCGATGGTTTAAGTATACTTTCTCTAATACCCGTCATCGATGATGATGGTAAATATTTAACGTGCAGAGCGGAAAATCCTGTTGTACCAGACAGTGCGCTTGAAGATAAATGGAGATTAAACGTACACTGTGAGTAAAAAATCATCATTATTATTATTTATTGCCCTCGTGCTCCCTCACACCCTCACCCTCCCCGAAAAAAAAAAACAATCGGAAAACAATTTTTCGTTTTAATGTTTTTTATTATTGATTTACATATATACCCATAATTATTATTAATATTTTTTTTTTGTTTTGATTTTAATCTCTAACAGAAAATTATCATTTGATAAATTATCAACGACACTGATAAGAACCCTTATCATTAATAATAATACTAATAATAATAAAGGAGAAGGGGGAGAAAAACAAAAACAAAAACAAATGAAATGATCGTTTTTTTTTTTTTTTTTAAGTGCAATCGATTGTTTTTTTTCATTTTTTTATTATTTTTTTAGTGAGGGCCGGGAAGAGGGGAAGGAAATTATTTTTAAATATGTATTTCCGGTTTTATGCCCTTTACTTTAGGAAAATTTTATGCGCCAAAAAGGCGGAAAATTTAAACGTAAATTTTTTCCTTAGTCTTATTGACGCGACTTACACACAAACATGAACAATTTTCGTCGCGTTCTTATCACAACATTACTACTACCCTGTTTCAAAATAATCGTTATCAAATTTCCGGGTTTAAAATATTATACTCGCGATAATTTTACACGATTTTATTATTATTATTATTAAAATTAAATTAAATTAAATTTGAATATTAAAAAAAAAATATAAAAAAAACGACGGGAAAATATGACGGAAAATTTTCCCGTTTCTTTTCTCCCTCTTCCTCCTTCTCATTCGGCATAGCCCCCCGTCATTCACGCATTAAATATTTATTATTATTATTATTATCATCATCGTTATTAAAACTATCATCATCTACCGTATCACGTATACGGTGGTATATATATATACGAGTCATCAATATTTTTTTTTTTGTATGCGGTCTCCCACGAATCCCACTCATCATTTTTTTTTATGTTTTGTCGTTCGCCATTTTGTTTTTTTTTTATCTATATAAAAAATTTATATTAATGTAAAAAATTTTTTAAATATATAAAATGAAGTAGGTAATTATTATTATTATTATTATTATTATTATTATTATTATTATTATTTTTTGCCATTTTTTTTATCTATCATCTAGTATCTGATTTGTCAAACATTAAAAAAAATTTTTTTTTTCATATATGTATACATTCGAAATTATAAAATCGCGTGTTTTTTTTTTATTGCATTTCTTATTAATATCAGTAGTATTATTATTATCATTAGTATTATTATCATCATCATTATTATTACTAATTCTTACAATGCGCTTATAAATATATACATATATTTAAAAAAATAAAAATTTATAAATAATCGTCGTCGGTCGTACAACAAAGTTTAAATTGTTTTTTTTCTTTTTTTTTTTTTTAATATTTTATTTAAATTCGGTGTTGCCAACATTTAAAAAATAATAATATTGATAAAAGGAAAAATACTGAATGGTATATGAGAGTGGAGTAAGGAGGGACGAGGGGAAGGAAAAGAGAAGAAGAAGAAAAAAATAAGAAAAGAAAAAAAAAGGCAATCGGGTAATAAACAATATAAAATAAATAAAACACGAATGTATATAAGTAAGCGGAAGTCGATGTCAAAAGTGAACCGGAAACACGCGAAATAATTTGCTGCATGTATTATTTTTTTAATTTATTTAATTTTTTTTTTTCGGTTTTTTTCAGTTTTTGGGGAAGGGGGGGAGAGATTACGTGAAGTCTTAAATTAATTGGAAAGAAAGAAAAAAAAAAGGAAGTGATTATTATTATTATTATTTTGTAATCTTGTAAAACGTCATATTTAGTTTGCCCCTAATTAAAAATGATCGTGTAAATAATTAAATATTCTGCCACTTTACACACACTTTTTCTTTCTTGTACCTTATCCGACAGAGAAAAAAAAATAAAAAATAATTAATTTCCTTTAAAGCGTGTGCGTGCGTGCGTGGGCGTGTGACGTCATTTCTATTAAAAATTACATGATGACGGTGTTAGTAATGGTAACGATCATTTCCGGTTCGAAGAAAACAGGTACCGAATTTTTATACGTTGCCGTCACGTTTAACTACTACTTACAGAAATGTACAGCAGACGAAAAAGACGTGTATGAATTTTTTTTTTAGGCGCGTGTTTTGAGAGAGAGAGAGAGAGAGATGATTTTCCTTGTTTATTGTCTCCCGTTTATCTATAATTTCTTTATTTGGGCGCCATTTTTTTTTTTTAATTCGAAAATCGGTGATGATAAAAATGACGGAACGAGTTAAACACACAAATCATAAACGAAAAAAATCATTTCGTCATCAAGTAGTCGCTCCAGTCGTAGTTATCCTCTCCAGAATTTTTTTTTTTTGTCTTTTCCAGAATTATTAATAATAATAATTAATTTAAATAAATTTAATATTATTATTATTATTGGGACTCTTATTAAATTATGCAAGCTACGATGTATTTCCTTTGTGATTCAATTTCCTTTGATTTTATCGAGACAGAAAGAGAGAGAGGGGGGGGGAGAAAAAGAGAGGAAAAAAATGATTCGACGTGGGGGGAAGAAGAAGGGAAGGGGAAGAGTGGGGTGGGATTTTTTTTTCTTTTTTTTTGACAGGTTTGAAAATTTTATGGAGATTTTGATTTATTAAAAAGGTTAAAAATTTATTTATTTTTCATCGTAACGATTTTATTATTATTATCATTATTATCATTTGCGAGGATTTATTATACGTCATGGAATTTTTTTTTCTTTTTTTTCTGGAGAAAATGACGGGGATGTAAAAAAAAAAAAAAATTAATCGAATTTTCTAATAATTACGATTACTCGATCGTTTTTTTTTCTTCTCACTTTGTTTGTTTCATGTTTGTTTTTTGTGCGTTTGTTTTGATATCAACGTTTGTACGATTGTACAAAAAAAAACAAAAAAAGCTGTTGAAATTTTGCCCCTAAAAAAAAAAAACAATAATAGTAATAATAAAAAATATGTAAAATATTTAATGAGGGCGTTTTCCGAGTTTTTTTTTTTCTTTGCCCTCCTCCCGTTGCCCCCTCCATCATTCCCTCTCCTCCCTCCTTCCCTCTTCCCGTCATCCCCATTTTTTTTTTTTTACTTCCCCGTTTTTGACATGCTATTCCCCGATGAGATGATTTTTTTTCCACTTTTAATGATGTTAATATGCCGTAATAAATCTTTTGTAGAAAATTCTAGTTTCTGTTTTTTTTCCCTATTTAAAAAAAAAAAAAAAAAAAAAAAAAAAAATTTTAATATTAATATCGTTTGTTCGTTTGTTTGTTTGTTTGTTTCAGATATGCCTCTCGTCACTCTCAAAATAGGAGCTAATCTTAATCCGGATGATATAAAGGAAGGAGATGACGTTTATTTCGAATGTAACGTCAAAGCAAATCCTAAATCTTATAAATTGGCATGGTTTCATAACGTTAGTCTATAAAAAATTATTATCACTATTATTATCATCACTATAGACTATACAAATTTATATATATTTAATTAATTTTTTTTTTGGGGGGTTTCAGGGAAAAGAAATGCATCATAACATATCCGCTGGAGTCATATTGAGCGACGTTAGTTTGGTTTTACAGGGGGTTAGCAAACACACCGCTGGAGATTATACGTGTTTAGCAGCAAACATAGAAGGAAAAGGAATTAGTAATCCCGTCACATTAAAAGTCATGTGTGAGTTGACTTTTTTTTTTTTTATTTAAACAAACAAACAAAAAAAAAACAAAATGGCGTCGTTGGAAAAGTCAGTAGTAGTCATTTTATTATCACCTCATCAAATCAAATCGCATTTATTTATCGACGACCCACCCCCCGCTCTCCGCCCTGTAAAAAATGGGTGGAAATTTTTTTTCTATTTTAGGGAAATCACCCTTAAAATTCAACCCTTAATTTTTTTTTTTTTTTTCATTTAAATCTTTCAATTTATATAAAAAAAAAACTTTTCGATAAACCCAATTTTATATTCCCACTTCGTTTTCCTATTTATTGTTGTTGTTGTTGTTTACCTTATGGATTTACGTAACGAAAAAAGTTTGTACGTAAAAAAAAAAAAAAAAACAAACAAACGTAACGACAAACGGAAAATTTTCTCCCTTTCCTTCCCTTTGTTTTTTTTCCGATGGAATAAATTGAAACATTTCATTTTTCTTTTACCAACAACAACAACCCGACAACACACACAACGCAAAACAAACACGTTGCATCATTTATCATAATAAATGTTTCAGACGCCAAATAAAATGTGTACGCGTCGGACTGAATTTTAAGTATTTCGTTATTTTTTTTTTATTTTTTATTTTTTATTACGTTTGTGTGTGTGGGTGTGTGCATGGGTGGGCGGGTGCGTGAGTGGGTGAGTGCACGAATGCGTTTTTATGTTTTTTTTTTTTTTGTTTTTTTGCGAGTCTTTTAAGTCCCCACTTAAAAAAAAAAATCGTAATTAAATTTATATTTATTGTCACTCGCGTCCCCCAACTCTTTAAAACAATAATAATAATGATGATAAAGGGTTTTCATTTAAAAAAGAAATAATAATAATTATTATTATTATTATGGGTTTCGATTAGATGTACCGACGTGTCGAGACGATAGAGAAGAACTTCACGGAGCTTTAAAACACGAAACGGTCGCACTTAAATGCGAAGTCGATGCGAATCCACCTCTTGTGACCTTTCAATGGACCTTCAATAATTCAGGTGATTTAAATGAGGTTCCGGTGACCCGATACACGAGTTCATCGACTATAAGCACCCTCAATTACACACCCGTGTCCGATATGGATTATGGTACTTTGGCGTGTTGGGGATCCAATTCTGTGGGACAGCAAAAAGTTCCATGCATATTTCAAGTTGTTGCTGCCGGTGAGTGAGTGAATGAATGAAACTATTTTATATTAAATGCTTTTAAAAAAGAAGAGAGAATAAGAAAAAGAGAGAGAGAGAGAAGAATAAGAAAAAAGTTTTGAAAAACGATTGTGAATAAAAGAAGAAGAAGAAAAAGTTTTGTAGAGGTAAAAAAAAAAAAAGAAATTTAAACTTTTTTTTCTTTTTTTTGAAGCATTATTAAAAATTAAAAAACTTTTATGTAACACATTCTTTTTTTTTTTCTCAAAAAAAAAAAAAAAAATTAAAAAGTCTAAGTTAGCGAACGAAAAAAGGAAAAAAAAATTCAAGTTTCCGGTTTTATATAAAAAAAAAAAAGAAGAAAAGTTTTAAGTTTTTTTTTTCTCGATCGATCGATTACGATTTGAAAAAAAAAAAAAAATGACAGAGATTTTATCGTTATATATTATTAAATTGCTTTTTATTATCATTATTTCAGGTCATCCGTTTCCATTGACAAACTGCACAATATTAAATCAAACGGCGGATTCGCTTCACGTTGAGTGCCTGGAAAATTTCGATGGTGGATTACCACAAACTTTTCTCATGGAATTATTAGAGCTTCCAACGCTTGAATTGAAAAGAAATATTTCCGTTGTTCGTGCCCCGCCGGTTTTCAGCATTTACGGACTCGAATCTGGTACCACTTATCAGGTAAATTTGTCTTTTTTCTTATTACACCTCCTTCCCCACTCCTCCCCTCTCACACCTGCCTTTTTTCCCTCCCCCCGATGAAACGCGACGTTTGAAATCTTTTTTTTTTTTTTTTTTTTTTAATTTTTTTTCTTTTCAGGGGAGAAAAAAAAATTATCATTGTTATTTTTGACCTTTTCCGGTTGACCTTTGACTTTTTTTTTGCTAATTATAAATATTATCATTTATTTTTTTTATGTTTGAGTTGTTATTATTATTATTATCATCATTTTTATTTGACGTTCGGTTTTTTTTTAATTGGCGTAAGTTTTGTTTTTTCCCTTTTTTTGGTTTCTCATTTTTTTTTTTTAATTAATGTTTTTTTTTTTTTAAATGTACGTTTCGTTTGTTTGTTTGTTTGCTTGTTTGTTTTTTAAATGACTTTTTAAATTTTGTTTTTTTTATTAAAAGGAAAAAAAAAATTTTTTTTTTGTTTTCCTCATCGATTTTCTCATTTTTCCCTTCTTTTTTTTTTTTTTGAAAATTTAAACAAAACAACGAACAAGTTACAAACTTTTCCCTCATTCCAATTGTTTGTCGACTTTAAAACTGATACATTTCTGTTTTTCTTTTTATTTTTGTAATTCGTAAAAACTGTCAGATTTGAATTCGTAGGAAAAACGAGAGAAGAGAGAAGGGAAGGGGGGAAAGAAAAAACAACAACAATATTCTGTTAAGTTGACGTAATAACGTACGTAGTTAAACAAATTTATCGATTTTCAAATTTAAAATATTCACAAAAACAAACACGAGAGAAAAATAAAGAAAAACAAACAAACACAAACAAAATCGTTATTATTGATTGATAAATTTATTGACACGCTTGTTTTTTTTTTTAAATCCGCAATTTTTATTTTTTCCCCCTCTAAATTATTTCTTATTTAAAAAAAATATAAAACGAATTTCCTTTTATTATTATTATTATCATTACTATATTATTATCATTATCATTATTAATCATGGCTACCAGTGTTGCTCTCACGATGATCGCAATAGTTTCTATCTTTACTTTCCCCTCATCTTGGCTATTTTAGCCTTTTGTCCGCTTCTTTGGGGTTGTCTGCTGTTTTATTCTTGCCATTCGGTTCCGCATGTAATATAATTATTATTATTATTTACAGGTAAATTTATTTGCTGTAAATGCAAAAGGAAGGAGTGAACCCTTTGTTATTGAGACTGTTACCTTCAAAGGGGTTGCCAAATATACAGGTAATTATAAAATCATATTAATAATAATAATAAAGAAATTAATGATTAAAAAAAAAAGGAAAAAAAGGGAAAATTTTCTCCATAAAAAATTATGGAAAAACTGAAAAGTAAAAACGAAAAAAAAAAAAACGTTTTTTTTTTTCCAGTTAAACTGATTTTTTAGAAATTGATTGAAGCAAATGAATAAACAAACCCGATTTCCTTTTTTTTTTTTATATTTTTGTTTCCGGTCGGATGATTTCGAAGCAATTAACCAATTCAATTAGAGATGATAAAAAAAAAAAAAAAAAAGTCAAAAATGTATATCATAAAAATCAAAATGGCCGTTTTTTTGTTTGAAGAAGGAAAAAAACAATCGAATTTCCCTGCATTTGCGCAAATTCAATTAATTAATTCTAATTGAACAAACGAAGTTGATTGTAATTTTTGTACGAAAAAAAAAAAAACAAAAACAAAAAAACAAACAAACCTTAATCACTTTCCTCTCACCTCCCTCCTCCTTCCCCGGGGGCCGGGGAAGGAGGAGGGAGGTGAGAGGTGGGAGGTGGTTTTTAAATGATTTGTATAATTTTTTTAAAAATTCTTTTCCAGGAATCACGACTCCGATTCCGATGAATCCTGTTTTGACAGGTTTAATAGCGACAGCATCGACGTTAGTCGTCATAGTTTGTCTTGTACTTATGGCTTTGTATAGAAGAAATCGTACCAGGAGACCGTTGTCGAAACAAGCGGTTGTTCTGGTATCGGAAGTCATGGAAGATACGAGGCCTTCTAGTTTAACATTACCCTTAAATCCGAGTAATAATAATACGTCATCAACGGAACATAGAATAACAGATGACACAGATCCGGATGTCATACCCAATCAATACGGTGAGTTTTTTTCTTTGTCGGTTTGTTTTTTTACGTTTGAAACACATCGAAATTTCCCTGTTCCTTCTTCTTTCCCCCCTCCCATTCCCCTCATATATATGTGTAGAAAATATTTTCGTTTGGAGTCGATGAATATTCATTAAAGAGAAAATTTTTACTACTACACCTCAAATTCCTCAAAGGATTCGTGAATGATTTATAAAACTTTTCCATCTTTTTAATTTCTTTATTTTTTTTATTTTATTTTACCTAACACGCACTCACGCACACGCGAGTTTATATCGTATTGTATTTCGAAATTTAATAATTTTAAACAAATGAAAACTTGTCAAGTAACAACACAACAAACGGATGCGAAAAATTTTTCGTTATTATTATTTTGTTTTTTTTTTTAATAAATTAAAACTCTACTTGACGCGCGCCTACCTCTTCCCTCCCCTTCTTCCTCCCCCTCCCACCACCACGAAAAAAGAAAAGGAAAAAAATTGAAAAGAAAGTAAAAAATGACCGGAAGTAAAATTAAAAAACAACACTAAAATTTTTTTTTTCGTGTGTTTCTTTTTTTGTTGTTGTTGTTGCTTGCGGTTGTTTAGTTTTTACGAAAATTTTTTTTTTCTTTTGTAAAAACAGAAAGAAAACCTTTGAAAGGTTTGATAAAAAAATACAAAACTCCACCGCAAAGGAGAAGAAAAAAGAAAGATCTAGAAAATGACGAAAACGACGAGGAGGAAGATCGCGAAGAGATCTTAAATAAAGATGGCGTCGGAATCGATAATAATGAAAAAATTATGTTGAACGCAAATCATAAAATCGATTCCAAAGACTCGCATCCTTTGTTTAACAAATGGACAAAGGTAAGTAAATGATAATGATAATAATTAAATCCCTCCACTTTTTATGTTTCCGTCGCCATTTTTTCTTTTTCTCCATCGACAACGAAATTAACATTCTCCGATTACTCTTTTGTTTTTTTCCTTGCTTTTCTTTCTCCCGTTTGTTTGTTTGTTTGTTTGTTGTCTTCCGGCGGGTGAGTGTGTTTTTTTTGTAAATAAAAATAATTTTAATTTATAGAGTTGCAGTAACGGAAACAGTACGTTACGATCTAATAAAGGCGTTACAACGACGTCATCGAGCGGTCCCGTCGTCGGCGCTGACATATCACTGACAACGCACACGGTTTTATCAAAAAATTATAAAACCGGACACGAAGTCGTAACAACAACAAACAGAATGCAAGAAAGTTGCATTTAGAAAAGCCAAAACAAACAAAAACAAGAAAAAAAAAATTTTTATGTACATTGTTGTGTAATTATTGTATTGATTAATAAAAATAAACTCGAAAAAGAAAAAAAAATAAATCGAAACGATCGATTTTTTTTTTTTTTTTAATCACGTGAATCGATTTCCTGGAGAAAAAATTATTATTTCCTCCAGATTTTTCCAGAAGAATAGTATAATATCACGTGGTCGACACTTTTTTTTCGAAACTTAATCCCAAACGGTAATAATTATTTATTAAGACCGTTTTTATTTATTTATTTATTATCATTATTATTATTATAAAAAATAAAACTTTTTTTTGGAGGAAGAAAGAGCGGCGACGACGACGACGACGTTGTTTGTTTGTTTGTTTGTTTGTCGGTTTGTTTTTATAACACGAAATAAGTGACGTTAATGATAAATAATTTGCAAATCTCTTGACCCGAATTGTAAAAAACGAATTTTAAATGAAAATTACAACAAAAAAAAAGGCAAAAGTCAATGAGAGAGTGAGAGAGAAAGAATGAATGAAGGAGAAGAGAGAGAGAGGCAACAAAAAAAAGGGATGCAAAAAAAAAGGGAACAAAAACAATTTTTCCCAAAGGAATCGAATGTTGAGTAAATATCCCTTTCTCACTCACTCTCTCTTTCTCTCTCTCTCACACACACTTATTGCCGATGGGTAAATTCAAATCACGTGTTAGAAAAGTTTTAATACGCTGGAGAAACCTCTCACACGGTATGTGATTATTTGACTCCGAACGAGGGAGGAAGGGGAAACGTGCCGGGTGGCCTGGAGAAGAAAATCATATCCGATTTATTTTTTATCACTGATATGATATTTTAAAAAGGCAATTTACGCGTCGCTAACTTTTTGACTTTAACCCTTTCATAGCGAATTAATTATTATATTCATTATCATCATCATCATCATCATCATCATTATCATTAATCGAAATTACATAAACGGAAAACTGGAAAAAGGGAAGAAGGGAAAGCAGAAAAACAAACCGATTTGCCAACTATGATTTTTTTTTTTATTACGTTAAATAAAACAAATGAAAATGACGTCATATGAAACGAACGTGTATCGATTCGAAACGTTTAATAAACGAACGTGAAATGTTGGCAACACTGCATAATAAAAAATAATAAATTAAGAAAAAAAAAAATTTCCCGCGGTGCGAAAAAAATAAAATAACTAATAGCAGACGTTCGTTTTTAAAAGTTTTAGAAATATTGTTAAAAACGGAAATAAATCTATCGGAGGAAAAAGAGAGAGAGAGGGAAAATTAACTATTTCCGGTTAAACGGAAAGTTTTTTTTTTTTTATATCGTTCCTGTCGATTTGTGCGTTTTTTTTTTTTTATTTACTGAAGAAAAGAAAATTTTTTTTTTGTTAAATTATTCAAGAAAAAAAAAATTTTCTTTCTTTTTAAAACAGGAAACAGGAAGTCAACTCGTCGTTATTAAAAAAAAAAAGAAACAGGAAAAAGTTTTTTTTATTACCTGACAACTTAAAAAAAAGGAGAAAAAGAAAAGTCTAAACAGGTTTTTTTTTTCGTTTGTTTGTTTGTTTTTGTTTGTTTAAAAAATTTTTTTTGTTTTTCGGTGTCTTGCTTGTCAACGACAGAAAATTTTTTTTTTTTTTTACTTATTTAAACTTCTTATCACGCAACATTTAATTTTAATACAAATTTTTTATTATTTACCCTTTTTTATTATTATTATTTAAAACGACAAACAAACAAACAAACAAAACAAAAAAAGGGTAAAATTTTAAATAAAAAAAAAAATTATTTGGCGTTCGTGCGCACACGCGTAATTTTCAACCGGGGAAAAAATAAAAAAAAAAGTTAAAAATGATGATGACGTCAATTATCGTGGGAAACAAAACAAACAAAAACAAACGATTGTTAAACAAACGATAAACGATATAATTTTTTTTTTTTTTTCAACAAATCAAAATATTGGCACACGTAAAAATAATGATAATGATAAAAAATATTGAATAACCTGTACGATATCCAAATTCGATTACACGGTTCAACAACAACAAACAGAACAAACAATCCAAGAACAAACGTTTGCCCGCCTACTCGCCCGCTTTTCCATCTATTCAAAGTCAGAATCCGTTAAATTGAAAATATTGAAAAAAGATAAATTAAATTGAAAAAAAAAAAAAAAAAAATTCATACAAACTATTTTTTGTTCACGAGGAAAAAAAAAAATGTTCCACCGAGTTGTTTTTTTTTTTTTATTTATTTATTTATTTAAATTTTCTTCTGCTTTATTTTAAAGGGAGGGGAGAGAGAGATAGAGGCGGGAGAGGGGAGGGAGACAAACAAAAAGCAAACAATTTTCTTTTCTAACCTTTTTTTTTTTTATTTTCGATCGATTTACAAAAAAAATAGTCAGGACCACAAAAAAGGTCAAAATAATTTTTTTTTAATGACGAATCAGGACCGTAATTAGGTAACAAAATTTATTCCAAAAGAAAACCGGAAATGGATAAAATGAAATCAATAAAATTTTAATATAATTTAATAATAAATACGAGTCGGAAAATTTTTTTTTTTTATGTTTGTTGTTGTTACGACGCGAATTTTTTCCCGTTTATTATTATTCACGTCGTAAATTTTCTAATCGAAGAAAAGAAAATTTTGTTGTTGTTTGTTTGTTTGTTCGTTTGTTTATATAAATAATTTTATGAATCGTTTACTGAATTTTTTTTTTAAAGAAAATTATTCAAGTTTCGTTTATTGGTCTCAAAAGTAAAATAAAAAATAAAAAAAATAAATAAATCGACAAAAGCGACGACAAATTTTAAAATAACTTTTTTCTTTTTCCCCCTGCCCCCTCTCGGACTCGAATCGAAAAATAAAATTTTTTATTATCATTATTATTATCATCATCATCATCATCATTATTATTTATTTTATTTTTGATGCATTGAATAATAAATATAAAATAAAAGATTTTTTTTTTTTTGTTTATCGTATAAAAAAAAGTTTTACTTGTCGCGAGCGCTCTCACGCGGAATAAAATATAAACTATAATTGTGCAGACGACGGATATTAACCGTAGCCAAAAATAAGAAAAAAAATTAACGGTAGCAAAATCAAAAAAAAAAAAATTTTTTCTTTCATTTTCTTTCTTTTTCGGTTAATAACGTAATTTAAATTTTTTCTTTTGTTGTTGTTATTGTTATTGTATACTTTTTTGTTTGTTTGTTCGTTTGTTTGTTTTCCATAACAAAAAAAAAATAATTGAAAACTTTTAACAATCAATCTAAAAAGTAAAAAATAACAACAAGAACTAAATTGACGATTGCCAATGGCGCGAATTAAAAAAAAAAAAATTTTTTTTCTACGAGGGTTGAATCGAAGAAAAGTTTTTTCCCTTTTTGAAATTTAATAGGATTAATGATAATTACAAAACTTTTCTCAAACTCTCTCTTTTTTCAAACCCCTTCTCCTAATCTTGCCCCCTTCCCCCCTCAAAAAAAACCGAAACTCATCAAACATGCCAACTTAACAAAAAAAAAAAAGAAAAGAAAAAAGTTACGCGAGCCTATTTATCCGTAAATAAAATTTTTTAAATTTTCATTAATCGATTACGTTTCCTTTTCCGGTTTAAATAAAATAATAATAATGATAATGATAATGATATTATTAAAGCGTTTGTCGTGTAAGGAGAAAAATAAAATGAATTTTAAAAATTTCATTCATCATCCACAAGTGTTTTTTTTTTTTTTTTTAAATGAATCAATTTTGTCCTTTTATAAAAAACCGATTAAAAGGTCGTTGGACATGTGTCGTCATCGTCGTCCATTTTGTTTTATTTAATTACGTCATCGAATCTTATCACAGACAGAGAGAGAGAGAGAGGCAAAAAAAGATCGAGAAAGAGAAAAATCACTTTAAATCAAATTGAAAATTTTGAAAGGAAAAAATAAATAATAATAATAAAACGAGGGAAAATTCATTTATATAAAACGTGTCACGTGATTTAAAATAAATTTATTTTCATTTAAAAAAAAAAAAAAAAAGACTTTTACTACTCAAACAGAGTTACAAACGGTTTTCTAAATGTCCCCTAAACATCTAAATAAATCCTTTGACCACCCCTTAATTTTTCACCCCACCTCTCTTCCCCTCCCCTCCCCTCTTTGCTTTTAATATTAAATATAATGTGCATAAGGTAAACGTAGTTTAAAATTCCCATTCAAAAATTATATATATATAATTTATTTAAATCTGTTGATTTAAGTACGAACAGGCACGCACACGCACACACTGAACCGGAAAAAAGGTTTTTTCACTTATTAACATTTCTCATTAGGACACCTTTAATTTGTATTTTTTTAATCGTGGAAGAAGAAAAAAGAAGAAAAAAAAAAAAGAAAATTTACAAATTTTATTTACGGTTTTTATAATTATTTGATCGGATTTGTTTAAATTAAATATTTGTGAGTGTGATAAAGTAAACAAAATCGACGCCATTTTTAATAATAATAAAGGTTAGATGACTTAAATTAATAAAGTCGAATTTTTTGGGGGAAGAGGAAGGTGTGTAGTGAAGGGCAAAAACAAAATCGGTAGGAATTTATTATGTATTACAATTGTAGCCAATTGTCGAGTGAACTAAAGCCTGGCACCAACATCAGAAGCAACTAAAACAGTAAAAACAACAGCAACTGCAACTGTAGCAACAGCCGCAACAGCAGCAGCAACGCAAATTGTTTCACGACAAACAATCCGCCACTAATTGTACCAAAGAATGTTTTCCTTGTTTGTAGATTGTTCCGAATTATTTTCCCATTATTAGATAAGAATAACGTCATGAGCGGAAATGATAGTTTTACTTAAATAAATAATTTCTTTACTTCCGGTAAAGGAAAGAAACTCATACAAAGCGGTTGTGGTTTTCTTTATGTTCAACCGATTGGAAAATTTCATGTTTTATTGTGACACGTCATCATCATCATC